GGGTAATTTTTTTAAAACATAGCAGCCCTAATATGGCTCTAATATTTCCTGCTTGCATCACATCGTGACTGCAGATCAATTGTAGGAACAGCAAAATTACTGAAATGCAAACACAGTTGTAGTAGGAAAGGTAGTGTCACCATATTTCCAGTTTCAAAAAAGATGACACCTGGGGGGGTGGCGCTGGGATGGGAAGGGGGGTATATGATTGCGGGGGCAGTGTTTTATCTGCCCCTCACTCCCAAGCCACAGGTCCCCCAGCCCTGCTGGTGCCTGCTCACTGCTGACCCACAGTACCCTGCTCCCCAGACCATGCTGGTGCCTTTCACTCCCAACCCACAGCCTCCCTGTCCCTGCTGATACCCCTCATTCCCGACCCCTGCTCCCCCTCCCCTGAGCCCCAAGCAGCTCCTTACTAGGACAAGCCTGGAAGTACTGAGAAAGCAGAGGTAGAGCGAAATCCCAGACATTTGTTCATATTTTTAAAAAACCACCTGGGGGAAAATGGAAGGACCCAAAAAGAAGATTTGTCCTGAAAAACCGGGACATATGGTAACTGTCACTTGTAGCTGTTGTAGGGCTTCGGACCCTTCTTGATAGGTGCCTTGCCCCCAAGCAATGTCAGGGTGAGATTGGGCTCTGGTGCCACCTGGATGGTTCAGGTGCTGCTCCTACTCACCTGCCATGTCTTTCATGTTCTTTATTGGGGAGGCAGTTCCCTGCAGGTGGCCCCCAAAGTGAAGAGGTCTCAACCCTGGTCTTTCTTCATGGGGCTCCAAACCTCCCCTTTACTCCACCCTTACCATATCCACGGCCTGGGCAAATGCTGCACCCTGCAGGTCTTCCCCTGGATGATCTCATCTCATCCACACAGCCCGCCTCGGAACGGGTTGGGTCAAGTCAGGTCTTCCTGGCCAGCAAAATCTTCCCCGCGGTTGGTCCCTCAACTTCAGGCCAGCTTGGGCATCTAAACCTGCCCCAGCTTGGGGCTAACTGTAACTAAAATGAACTCAACAGAAAGTGTCTGGCCTCTGCTGATGGCCCTTAGGATCCCATCTCCCAGTGCCCGCTTGGTCACTCGGGGGTTGGGGGAAAGAGAAGAAGAAGGGGAACTCATCCGTCCCGTCCCTCCTAGTAGTTGTGGGGAAGGACAGCCGCCCCGTGCCCCATCCTGGTCAGTCTTCCTAGTGTGACCTCCCCTGAGTCCCAGCTGACCTGTAATCGATCTTCTGTTCCTCCCAAGCTGGTGGGGCTCGTAGTTCCCACACAGGGCCGTGCCGTTTTCTTGCCCAAGAGAGGTAGCAGCTCCCTGCTGCCATCCCCAGCCACAATACCTGGGTTCCCTAATGGGGCTACAATGTTGCTCCCAGGTGTTTCTTGGTCCCCAACACTTGTGCTCCTTGTCCCGTCTGCCAGAGTCCTCTGGCAGATGCTCAGCTCTGCTGCCCCATAGTCGGGGCTTGTGATTCCCAGCTCTGCAGACGGCATCTCCCAGCATCCCACTATTCCCCCGCTGGCTGCCCAGCTGTGTTCCCAGCTGCTTTTTGAGCAGCCCGCACCTCTCCGGAGCCCCGCCCCTGCCGCTCACCGATACACAGGCTCAGGCAGCTCTGGAACTGTGAAGCCTGTGTTGGCATTTCTTCCTGGTTGTTGCTCATTTGGACACCTGCAGTAAGTATTGGGGTCCATGGGGTGGGGGTCTGGGACACACTAGAGGAGCTTTTACTTCCCCTCTCACATATCCACCCTCCCAACACACCACTAGGCACTCTTTCATCATTGTTTGGCGCCAGATATGCACATGGCGGGGCCTTCCCTCGATCTTGGGAGTCCTCCGGTGTGTCCCTTGAATGGCAGTGGGACAGAAAATCAGCCATCATATTATTCTTCCCAGGTTTGTACTCTATGGAGAACTGGAATGGCTGCAGTGCCAAAGCCCAACGTGTTATCCTAGCATTCTCTGTTCTAGCCTATTTTAGCCATTTCAAGGGAGCGTGGTCTGTTATGACCATGAATTCTCTACCCAGCAGGTAATATCGAAAATTTTCTGTCCCCCATTTCAGGGCCAAACATGCCCTCTCAATGGTGGTGTACCTCTTTTCCTAGTCATTGAATTTCCTGCTAGCGTAAGCTACGGGTCTTTCTGCCCCCTCCACTTTCTGGGACAAGACTGCACCCAGTGCTTGGCCTGACGCATCGACCTGCAGGACAAACGGCATTGAAATATCCAGTGTGTGTAACACCACCTCCCTGCCCGTTTGACTTCTTCCAAGGCCCTTCTTTGCTCCTCTTCCAGTTTTATGGCTCCATTCCCTCTCCCTTTGATTGCATTTGTGAGGGGGGCTGTGAGGCCTGCAAAGTTTGGAATGAACCATCTATAATAGCTAGCCAGGCCTAAGTTTGTGGGACATTTGTATAATGGCTACCTTATTGGCCAAGGGTTTGATTTGGCCTTGCCCCACCAAAAACCCAAGGTATTTTGTCTCAGCTTGACCCAGTGTGCATTTCTTGGGGTGGGCCGTCAGGCCTGCCTGTCTCAATTCCTGTAGTACCACCCAAAACACCGTTACATGTTGATCCCATATTTCTGTGTACACTACAACATCATCAATATAGGCAGCCGCGTACTGGTGATGGAGGGCTAGTACCAAATCCATCGACCTTTGAAAGGTTGCTGTGGCCCCATTGAGGCCGAAGAGCATTCTGCAGAACTCATATAGTCCCCATGGGGTCCCAACTGCTATTTTCACTCTAGCTTTCAAACGTAAAGGTATTTGCCAATACCCCTTGGCCAGGTCAAAAGTGGATATGAACCACACCTGCCCTATTCTTTCCAGCAGTTCCCCCACTTGGGGCATAGGGAAGGCGTCAAATTGTGTAATGGCATTGAGCTTGTGGAAGTCAATGCACAACTGTGATGTCCTATCAGCCTTTGGGACCATCACTATTGGGCTATGCCAGGAACTTCGGGACTCCCTGGTGATTCCCTGCTTCAACATCTTTCTTATTTCCTCTCTTACCACTGGATACCAGTGATACGGTATTCGCCTCCACCTATCCCTCACTATGGCCCCGTTGGGTGTCATGATCTTATGGACCGCGCCCTGGGCCTTCCCATGTATCTCACTGAATACATTGGCAAAGTCTCGTACTAGCCTTGCCAGCTGTCCCCTCTGTTCAGCCATCAAGTCTCAGCCTATGGATTCCCCTGCCCCTGCTGGCTCATCTAGGGTCCTACCCAGCTCCTTCCATTCTGGTATCAGCATAGCTAAGAACCCTTCTGGCTCACGCCACTGCTTCAGCAGGTTAACATAATAGATTTCTTTCTCTTCTATGGCCAGGTCGCAGGACCTCATAGTCAACTGGGCCAACCCTACAAATGATCTAGAAAGTCCCTTGCCAACAGGTCAAGAACTTGCTCATGGAGCTGGGGAGCAGCACTAGTACCTTCTGTCCTAGTTGGAATTCATGTTCTACTGTGGTTTTATCATAGTGCCACTTTTGTCATTTTTGGGCCCCCCTTAGGTTATCTCCAGCCATCCAGTTTGCCTTCTGCAATCACTCCCTCAGCGCCTGCGCATACTGGGATGGAGGGGTTAACCCTTTTTCCTTCCTCATGTGAGGCCTCCTGGCCTTGACTAGCATCTGGTCACACCCCATATCTAGGATAGCACGGACTGCCTGCCCCACCACCATGGCCATCACCGTAGGCTTGTCTAGTTGGGTGGCTTCTGCTGTACTACCCAGGCTGCAGTCCATCATTTCCACTGGGGATGACTCTCATAGTGTAGGGAGGTTGCCTCAACTGTCTCTTCACCCAACCGGTTCTAAGGCCATGAGTTGTGGGTTCATCGTACATTCCCGTGAGGAATGGTCCCTTTTTCCACAGCGGAAACATGTTGACCCCAACAGCGGGGCTCAGGTGAGGGTTCTACTTTCCTGGTCCCCCCGCCTCTCGTTGAGTTTAGTGTTCATGAGCGTCCCCAGTTTGTCCCGGGGTATCTCACTCCAGGAACAGTCGAAGTCCTCTGCCAACTGGAAAGCCTCTCGAAATGTTTTGGGGTGATGTCACTGCTCCCATCTCTGGGTATTCTCTTCTAGATCCATGAGGAACTGTTCTAACAGGAAAGTATCCATGATCTCCTCCCTGGATGCCTGAGCTGGTTGGATCCATTGTTCTTGGAGGTATTTTAACTTCTGGAGGAAGACCCAGGGGGCCTTATCTTCCTTCTTCTTTCATGTGTGGACTATCTGCCAGTAATGCTTGGGAGTAATATCCAGGCGGTATAGAATCTGCTCCTTCACTTGGTCATAGGTTTGGGCTGTGAGGCATGATAGAGCCTTGTAATCTGCCTGTGTGAGGCCTACCAACAACACTCCAACCTTTGCTGGCCACCTAGACTTGTCCAATCCTGCAGCCACAGCAGCCCACTCGAAGCTCTGCAAAAATGCTTTGGGATCAGCTGTCATCTTCGGGATTCTAAGGTCTACCATATTCTGACTCATCAGCTCTTGCTGTTTCATCATTTGTTCATCTAATGCCATCTGTCCGTTTGCTTGCTGCTGCTGCAGGATCTGCACAACCAGGTTCAGGGTCTCTTGCATGGCTTCCATCCCGACCAGGGGTCCTGCCTGTGCTTCCATCACATTACTCGGCTCTGGGATGGGTTCTTCTTTCCCAGCCAATGCACCAATTGGTCATTTGTAGGTGTTGTAGGGCTTTGGCCTCTTCTTGATAGGTGCCTTGCCCCCAAGCGGCATCAGGGCAAGATCGGGCTCTGGTGCCACCTAGATGGTTCAGGTGCTGCTCCTACTCTCCTGCCATGTCTTTGATGTTCTTTACTGGGGAGGCAGTTCCCTGCAGGTGGCCCCCAAAGTAAAGAGGTCTCGACCCTTGTCTTTCTTCATGGGGCTCCAAACCTCCCCTTTAGCCCACCCAAACCTCTGCTTTACCCCACCCTTGCCTGGGCAAACGCTGCACCCTGCAGGTCTTCCTTTGGATGATCTTGTCTCATCCACACCGCACACCTCGGAATGGGTCAGGTCTTCTGGCCATCAAAATCTTCCCCGCAGTCAGTCCCTGAACTTTGGGCCGACTTGAGCAACTAAACCTGCCCCAGCTTGGGGCTAACTGTAACTAAAATGAACTCAACAGAAAGCATCCCACCTCCACTGATGGACCCCTGGGATCCCGTCTCCCAGTGCCTGCTTAGTCACTTGGAGGGGGAAGAAGAAGAAGGGGAACTCGTCTGTCCCTTCCCTTCTAGTAGTTGTGGGGACGGGCAGCCACCCCATGCCCCACCCTGGGTCAGTCTTCCAAACATGACCACCCCCAGATCCCAGATGACCTGTAGTCAATCTCCTGTTCCTTCCGAGCTGGTGGGGCTCATAGTTCCCATGCAGGGTTGTGCCTTCTTCCTCACCAAGCTGCCTGAGAGGGCTAGCAGCTCCCTACTGCTATCCCCAGTTACCATACCTGGGTCCCCTAATGGGACTGTGATGTTGCTCCCAGGTGTTCCTTGGTCCCTCAGATTTGTGCTCCTTGTCCCGTCTGCCGGAGTCCTCTGGCAGACGCTCAGCTCTGCTGCCCCGCACTTGGGGCTTGTGATTCCCAGCTCTGCAGACGGCGTCTCCCAGCATCCCACTCTTCCCCCGCTGGCTGCCCAGCTGTGTTCCCAGCTGCTTTTTGAGCAGCCTGCACCTCTCCGGAGCCCCACCCCTGCCGCTCGCCAATACGCAGACTCAGGCAGCTCCGGAACTGTGGAGCCTGCATCGGCGTTTCTTCCCAGCTGTTGTCCATTTGGACCCCTGGATTAAGTATCGGGGTCTATGGGGCAGGGGTCTGGGACACACTAGAGGAGCTTTTACTTCCCCTCTCACAGTAACCCTAAGGAAAAGCCTGACTTAAATTGTCCTGCCCCTCCTCTCGGGACACAAAGGGTGTGGAGGGTAGGGGGGAAGGAGAGTGAGACAGGTTATCAGTGGTAATTCATGCAACACTGCAAGAGAGAATTAAGAAGGCCTTAAATTTATTCTTATGTGTGGCCCTTGCAAAAGGCAATGCATGCACTAAGTTTCTCCCTTTTTTGCCTGATTCCTGGGAACCATTCATACTGGC